GTTCCACCAAATGTTTTACCTTACTCTATTAGTAAACCATTACGAAAAGAAGACTTGGAGGCTCATTTTGGGTTAGTGTTTTCATTAGCTCATGATATCCATCACATTATGTCAGGATGTTAACTTTGTATAATATCTTAGAGATTGGACTGAGCTTACCATCTTGACGTGGACTCAGTATATTTTTACAAAACCCGGAATAGATGATCCTGATTTTGCAGAAAAAATTTTGAAAATCATTTCGCATCAATTTAAAAACTTGTCAAAGCCTGACCTCGAAGCAATAAAAAAAATCATGGCAGAAAAGAGATGCATTCCAACAGTATCCGGTATGAAATCACCTAAAGAATCTTACTTTCCAGATGTCAAGTTATTACCTGATCTGCCGAACGTTAATTTAAAACAACACAAAACAAAAAACCTCGACGAGTTTTTATTGTTTATTGGTGTGAAAAAAGTAATTTGAAATATTAATCATTAATATTCTTTTGTTATATTGCTTTCTTATGTTTTATTAAAATTGTTTTTCTTAATTTAGCATGTTGAGTTGCAACTTGTGTTTGATCGACTTTTTAATAAAGGAAGTTGGGATCATATGGAGTTAATAAAATATTTGGCCTCAATTGACCTCGAATGTGACGATATGGAAAAATTGGAAACTTCGGTTATATGGCCAATGGAATCTGGAAACAAAACCCAAAAATTTACGGTAAAAGAATTATATGCACCATTGCCCAAATTAATTGAACTTGGATTACCCATCATCAAATGGAAAGGCCGATTTTATAAAAATACTAAAGAAGGTATGGCAATTAAACTCATTTGTGAGAAATAAATTCTTGAACCTTATAATAATCATTATTATCAATTGCGTGATACAGGCAAATTTATCTTAAAACTTGGTCTACGTGAATATCCGCCACTCGATGAAATTCTTAAACTGGCATCGAAACCTCCTATGCGTCAGAAAGCATTTGAATATTTTCTTAATAATTTTAGAGATAAATATGCTAAAGATTATGATGCACGGTCAATAAATGTGCCATTTCTGCCGTGCATGGATCCAAATGTTTATTCAGAACCCTCAAAATGTTTTTTTAACCCTGAATGTGCAATAATGGGATTTAATGTACTACGCAAAGATTTACGTTGTAGAGCTGAAGAATTGGGTGTAGAGCAATATCCAAATTACTCGCAGTTGTCGGATAAACTAATCAAAGAGCCTCCAGAAAATGAAGAAAAGGCTAAGCTGGTTTTTGAATTTTTATTTTCATGCACATCTAGTTCAGACTCGACTGCTTTCAGTAAATTGAAATTTATTCCAACCCGTGACAAAGATCTACCTAACACATTCAAATACAATCTTCCACAAGATTGTTTCTTCAAGAACTCTGAAGAAGAAAGGTATGTTGTATTCTTTTCCACTCACCAATATACATCCATATATTAACTAATGCTTTTAATTAGTATCGAGTTCATAGATTTCTTTCCTTATGTTGATTTTGGAGATAAGGCAAATATATTTTTACGAAATTGTGGTGTCAAAGATAAACCATCACCAACCCAACTAGCTGAATTTCTTGTCAAATCTTCAGATGCATTTTTAAAGAAAATTGATGGAAATAAAAATAAATACATCTCAATATTGCATAAAATTGCTATTGACTTTTCTTCCATCAAAAAGAATTCAGGACTTTTATTCAATATGAAGCGAGAGCGAATCTTACTAGGAAGGAACAATGACGAGGCAGACAATGAAAAATATAAGTTAGCACGTGCAAAAGATATTTATATAAACGACAATTCATTTTATACGGTCATGTTTAAGCCACTAACTTGCCCCATTGATGTATTATTAGAAGGGTTATATCGGGTAATAATAAAATTTTAGAAATTTTCACATTATTTATTGTAAAATATATTAACATATATATGTTTGTTTTAACTACGCCATCAAAGAGTCTCGGAAGTTATTCTTTGGATAGCAGCGTTACATCATCTTTTGTTACAATAGGAACTCCAGAACTCACAGGAAAGTCTCGAGCAGTGCAAGATTTAATTAGAGAGCGATTTCCGTTATTTTATTATAATAAAGACCCATATAAGATCAAATTTCCTGAAGATTCGATGAAAGAATTGAATGTAATGGAAGTTGAAAATATTAAAGGAACCTATTACTTTAATGGAAAAACCAAAACTGATTCGAAGGCTTGTAAAATAGAATCCAATAAAGAAAAGCGTAAATTTACAATATATTTCAAATGTGACGAAGATGAACCAGATCTTTTAGGTATTTCTGCTGAAATTTCACAACATATTTATGAAAAACCGGAACCTCAGGATACTTCACACATAAGTATTTTATTAATGACGCCACTAAATGCGCTCAAAAAGAATGGATATCCGGTGGATCGTATGCTGGAAGAAAGAACAAAAAACACTACTATTGAAATTCCCACTTCCATAACGCGAAATCAAGAAGATTGGGATGATTACTTTGAATTATTCCAAAATCCTGTTTATATCAATCCACCATGGAAGATGTCTGGTGCTGGGTCAGATCCTATCCATCGTTCAAAAGAAAATTTGCATGAAGCATTGCGTAATGGTGTGAGTTCTTGTTGTCCCAATTCAAGAGCGGTAGTCGATTCTCAAACTGGGTTAAATGTTGACAGAGAGCCTGAGAAGAATCATTGCGATATTTCACAAGGTATATAAATTCACAAAAGGACTTATTTAAGTAATATTTTCAAGATAATAATATATTAAAAATCTCTTTGTCTGAATGTTAAAAAATTCAGGTCAACCATTAAAACGTGTCAGAGTAATTAATGAGATCAATATTTATATCCTTAAGAAGCTAGTTGAATCGAAAGTTTTAACATATGCCAGATTAAAATCTATAGGAAATTTCATCAAGATTCTTAAGGATCTTTGTGAGGTTTTTGAACTCAGCCCTAAAACGATTAATATCTTTTATGATCCAGAAGTAGACATGATCGCATTTAATTCTGAAAAGTCCTTGTTCTTCAATTTAGAATTTTACATATCTCTTCATGATTCCAATGGCCAACCACCTTCTGCTGATGTAATGTTTTATTGGTTTATGAGTATGTGCCACGAGCTGGCTCACAATTTTGTGTATGCCCATAATTCCGATCATGAGGTAAGAATTATTTGAAAAAAACTCTTTTAACATTATGCTTTATTACTTACTAACAATTAACCATCCTTTTCTTTCCTAATAGTATTATTTGTCATCGTATTGTAGAACTTATTTTGATAAATTTTTAACTAAATTAGATAAACTTAATATGATAAGTTGTAGAAAATGATGAATATATTTGTAATCTTTGGAACGGATAAACTTTTAATAATTAATATTAATATTAATTTTCTCTAATAAATTTAGATCAATGTTTATTAGTCTCAAACTATATATCACAATTGTATGACCACCATATAATAATAATGTGATATTCAATGCCCCCATGTAGTATAGGTAAAGTAATAGAGATCAATCTAAAGATATAAATTCATTTTCAATTCGGCCTTGGCTTTTGTTATTTGGGTTTTATCTGGGTTAATTTGGTTTGTTTTTCTTCAGCTTTATTTAGCATCTCCGACATCTGAGCCTTTTCTTTTCTTGATTTATTTTAAGTCCCTGCTTTTCAGCTTTGTTCGTGCTCCTGAATAAACCTTTCATTTTTGGGGTTGTTTTCTTTTTCTTCCTCCAAGAAATTTAATTGATATTTCAGATTAGAAATACCATTCTTTAATTGCTGATTGTGATTTAGCTTTTGTTAACTTTCATTATTTTTTTTAGTTCAATATTGGCTTATATCATGTCTTTGTTTTCAGCATTGGCTTTTAGTTGACTGATTTCTTTTTGAATTTTTTGAACTTTATTTGTTTTTCCTTTTCATTAAGTGTAATTCAGCTAATTCAATGATCTTTTTTAAATTTAAATCTTAAATTTCATGATTTAAAGTGTTTTTATTCTTTTCTTTGTTTTCAATACCAAACTTTGCTTATTTTCACCAATCAATTGTTCGGTTGCGTGGACATTTTAGCCAAGTTTGTATTCTTGTTATTATAATAGCTCTTCTCTGATTTTGCTTTTGGAATATGTTCTTTATACTTTTTTAGCAACTCTTTGGTCTTTTTCTCCTTTCGAAAGTCTTGACAAGTAAGTATCGCGATAAATCTGTCCTTGTACTCATAACTTGAATCTGAGAAGTTAATTGACGTCATACTTAATTCTGTAAATGAATCTGATCGTGCATAGTTAGATATAACAATATACACTTAAAATTATTTTATAGAATATTCATTAGAGTGCACAAAAAAGCATAATAATAATATACACAATCGGTGCTTTGAATTCAAATCCACGTTTTCTACATAGAAAGTTTTTCCTCGTTATACGAAACAATGTTAACTTTTAGATAAAATTATAACTCATTTCTACTAGTAAGAATATAGGCGATTGAGTTAATTGATTTATACTTCTCGCTGAACTTGGTAACCTATGAACCTCGACATAATTCTCTAGAAGATTCTTTGCGGTCTCGGCAATATTTTTATTAATTATCATTTTTGTCTTCCATTGAGGCATTTTTTGGAATGACCATTGTTTGAAATTAAAGATATTGGAAAAATTGATTGGTTGAATGTAAAAGAAATGGTATTGTATTGAAACAGACAGATAAAGGTTTCATTTTCAAAATTAATGAAAATCAAATAAATAATTCAATATTAAGTATATAGAGTTGAAAAACAGAGTATGCAATGGTTCATAATAAACAAAAATTAATCAAACTATAGATTGTAAATTTTTGGAATTTACAACTATGTAATAGTATTAACAATGAGCTTTATTGCAATTATTATTTTAGTTATGAAGATAATTTAAATATTAGAAATAAAAAGCAAAAGAGTGAAGTCATACAATAGTAAAAACAATTTAATTTATTAACAAGTTTTTCAAACCCTTCCATTTCTCCCTGAATGGTACGAGGTTAAACCCGGTTTATGCCCGAATTCAAATGAACTTTTAAGCTACACTTATCGATTAATCGCAATTAAGTTTTATTTTATTTAATAATTCTCCTACTTATTGCCTCTTTCTTGTGCCTGGAAAGCTTCGGCAAATCTGTAACATCTGCCGCTTTATAAAAGGGCCACATTTATTTATTGTAAATCAAATCAAAATTAGGTAATGCTGATCAATGATAATAATAATAGAATCGTGTCCGAGCCTTCAAATAAAGAGATACAAACATGAAACTAAGGGAAATTATAGTAAGTTTTTAGATTACCGAGAGTTTTTTTTCTTTATATAATAAAGATATTGAAAAAAGCTACTAATAGATAAACTTTATAACCAAATGAAGATGGGACAAAAAAAACAATAAAACTATAAAATAAAAAGGTTTCATTCAATTTTATTATCATGGTTTAAAGTTATTCGATTTATTATTAAATTTTACTATAAAAATTTCCATCATACTGATAAATTAATAGAAATTTCTTTTTTTTTTATTCAAAAAAAAAAAAAAAAAAATTCTTTGTCAATATTTATGTGTTGGAATATATGATAAAGATATTAAAAAAACCCACACATAATAATTGTTATATTGATGTAACATATGTTTTGATGGTCAATAGCATAATGCAGTTGTGATTTCCTTTTGTTGAATACCATTAATGACAATATATTTTTTTTAAATAAGATTAGCTAGTATAAATATCAACTTTCATCCCCTTTAAAACTTCATTAGCTTTTGGATGTTTATTTAAAGCTGCCAATTTCAAATATTTAATTCCTTGTACTGTATCTTTTGCAACTCCAAGTTTTCCATTGATATATATATCACCAACATTAAATTGTGCTGTGGGATTACAATTGTTAGCAGCCAATTTAAGATATTTGATAAATTCTTCCTTGCTAAACTTGGCTTTATTTTCAATTAATGAGAATGCATATCTTAATTGTGCATCAGGAATACCTTCATCAGCTGCTTCTTTATACAATTTAGTTGCCAATGCTTTATCTTTGTAACCACCATATCCTTCCCACAAATAATATCCTTTCCAATATTTTGCACCTGGATTTTTAAGATCAGTATGTGCTTGAAAACATGTCCATGCTGTTTTGTAATCTTTAGCTTTATGAGCTTTAATACCCTCATCAAATGTCATAATTTGTGTAATTAGAGCAGCTTGAGGTGGTTTGTTGCATTGACTACCACTATCTTCTTCACTTACAGAAATAGGTTTCTGGCCTTGTTTTAAAGATTCAATATTTTTTAATGGGAATAAGCCTGTTTTAAAATGTAAATGATTTAATTGAAGGAAAATATCCTGAAGTGATGATCTTAATAATGGATCATCTTCCCATGCTTTTTTTTTTGTTTTTTTTTTGGTAGATATTTACAAATCAGATAATAATAAGTTAAAAAATATTAATTTCAAATAAATAAATCTGTTTGTATGTTTTAATCTTACCTCCTCTTATAATTTTAGCATAATCTTGTTGAAGATTTTGGGTCATGTCATCTGTTTCATCAAATTGTATGTTTTCTCTGCCACCATCTAACACATATTCCCTAATTTTTGACAATTCCCATTTTTTATAGGGAACTTTTTCAAAAGCAAGTTCCCAAAGCAACATACCAAAACTACATATAAACAACACATATCATTAAAATTATTAAGTCAATAAATTACTGAATTATATAAATATTGATTTTTTTAAAAAATATACCTGAAAATATCACATTTAAAATTATAAGGTTGTCCTCTGAATTTTTCTGGAGCTTGCCAATGAACATGGTCCATACTAACCGGATCAGGATAATCATAATAAGCAACAATACGAGGAGGACGACAGACATAATAAGTTTTTGTAATTTTTGGTTTACGATTTTTGTCAATCTTTTATTATTTTTATTAAATAAACAATATATAATAATTAATCAATAATAATATTTAATAATAATATTATTTAATAATAATTTTAATTACCAAAATACTATCACAACGAATATCATGGTGAAGAAGTAGACATGAATGCATGAATATGAGGCCACGACAAATTTCAAGAGCTATATCAACTTTAGCACACCATCCAATATCATATTTCTCATAAACTTCTTTCAAAGTGCCC